TTCTTAATTTACTCCACTAATACTTACCCAATCGGGAAGTTTAGTAGCTTATTTTGTAGCCCTTAATCTAAGCCTTATTTTAGTCTAATATAGTAATAGAATAACTCTGATAGGTAAGAATTTATTAGCCTACCTACCTTGCTAGGAGTTAGGTCTCTACATTTTACTCCGATCTTAGATATCTCCTTACATAGTATAGCTAGCGTATTACTATAATATAGCAAAATAAAGCCCNAATAGAGAGCTTTAAAATAAGCTACTAAACTTCCTAATCGGGTAAGTATTGGTGGAGATAATAGCGTTTTTGAGATCCTGATATAGAGACTAAATAACTAGCCTAACTAGAATTATAGCTAAGAGAATAATAATATTTTTAAATACATAGATATAGTATTAGAATTAATACGTAGTTAGAATAAAATAAAATAAGATAAGATAGATAGACTAATATTATAAATTTATAGATAATAGAAAGCTATACTATTCTACTATATTTATTAGAACTATATATAATATAGTTATTATACTTAATAGAGTTATATCTTATTATTATATACTTATAAAAAGGTTTAAAATATTTTAGTAGTAATACTAAACTATTCTTAAGAGTTTTAAGTAGAGTCTTATAAAGTTAAGTCTCTTAGACTTTTATCTAATTTTTTACTTTAACTATAACTTAACTTTTTTTCTCTATCTACTATATAGCGTATTAGATTAATTATTCTAGAAAAGAATAGTAGACTACACTTTAATCTACTAAAATTAGGTATTAAAAAGATACCTATAGTTAAAGTAAAAAATTAGGTAAGGGTCTAAGAGACTTATATCTATAAGACTCTACTTAAAACTCTTAAGAATAGTTTAGTAATACTACTAAAATATTATAAACCTCTTAATAGGTATATAATAATAAGGTATCACTCTATTAGATATAATAACTATAATATAGTTATAATAAAAGTAGTAGAATAGTAAACTATAGTTATAATAAAATAATAATATAATAAACTATAGTTATAATAAGAATACGTAGTATAGCGAAGATCTCTAATACCTATAAATTTACTTTATCTTCTCTAGTCTATCTATTTTATCTTATTCTATCGTATTCTAACTATAGCTTAATTCTAATACTATCTTAAATCTATCTATTTAAAAATATAATTCTTCTTTTGGCTGCTATTCTAGTAGTTATCTCGTACTAAGCTAAGTCTATTAGAAAAGCTATCTATCTCTATAGATCTCTCTTCTACTATAATAATTATCTTTTACTCTTCTCTATCTAAGTATATACTAAGAGATCTAAAATAATATATATCTATCTAGTTAAAGTTTTATAGATCTATACTAAAATAGTAGTATAGATCTCTCTCTAATATTAGTATTAGTAGATTAGAAGGTAGTTATACTACTCTAATTAACTATATAAATACGCTTATAGTATATAAAGTAAGTATAGAGTTAATATATTACGTTAAGAGACTAAGTAAAGAGACTTATAAGTAACTAAAGGCTAATATAATATATATTAAAAGCGCTATTACTATACTAAATTCTATAAGAGAGTAGAGGAGGTTTAGAGAATAGTTTTAGAGTAAGGAGAGCTTAGCATAGATAGAGGCGACGCTCTACTTTATTTAGAGGCATCTAAGGGCGGTTAGGAGGGATAAGCTAGAGGAAGTCGTATAATGTGTTGTAGCTTTTAGGGTAGATTAGGCTACTGTGTCGCTCGTGTCGACGCTGCTGGTGCGTGATGGTATCGATGGGTTGCGGGCGTGACGGTGTCGATTGGTGGAGCGGAGGATGGGTGCGCGGTAGTTGCTGCTTACTAGTTGTAATCAATCTCAGAATTCTTTTCTCTTAGAAACTCCAATCAGAAAGGCCGGAGCCAATTACTTTAACTATAGTTATTTTTTTAATACTTAATTTTAGTAGGTTAGAGTGTAGTCTACTATTCTTTTCTAAGATAATTAATTGAATACGCTATATAGTATACAGAGAAAAAAGTTAAGTTATAAAACTGTTATTTAAGAAATATTTAATAGAGATATAAGTTATAGTAGTGAAGACGTTAACGTTAAATAATAGTAGAGTCTAACTAGCACAGCTAGGCTTATTAACTAGTAATAGCGTTGTATATGATATAATGTGTTTAAGAGACATTTCTAGAATGTATCTTGTATTTTACTATCTCTTTAGCTATGACTTCTGTGCTGTGCCCTAGAGACGAAGAAAATGCCATAAGAGCTACGGTACTTATGCCTTCTGTGCCGCAGGCTTAACTACAATGATACTGTCATACTCATGAGAGTATTGAAAGATTTCCTTGATTTCCCAGCCGGCTCCTTCCAATAAAAGTTGCCATTGCGCTCTCGTCCTTTCGTGAGATGCCACCTGTGCCATCATAGCTAGGTCCAACATGGTGACGTGGCGATGGCTACCTTGATTCAACAGAACTTTGTCGTCGATCAATAACAATGAGCTGTCTTTCATTGCAGGCTTCAAGGCGTTCAGTATCAGGCGGCAACGTTCATCAGGGTTGTCATGGAAGATGTTTCGGTAGTAGTAAAACTTGGCTCCTTTGACCTGTTGCTCGGCCAGATAATCCTGCGCAACTGTTTCTATTCCTTCCATAGCCGGGACCACATTGATGGTCTCCTGCATATCTTCAAGAATGATTCGTCCAGATAAATGTGGAAATTTCGCTTTCAATCCGCGACACTGAATCCCGAGGTTGCCTCCTACATCGACAAAGAGCACCTTTTCAGGATCAGCAAGCGACGTGAAATCGCCAAGATGCGATTCAAGAGGAAATGTGTTCAGCCAGTCTTCTCGAAATTGCACGTCCAGAGCAAGGCGGAGATACTCGAAAATTTTGGGCTGGCTTCGCACCCAGGTGAAGAATGGCTCTTGAGAACCCCAGGCTTTATTGAAAGCAGTGTCAGTGGCCGAAGTGATGTCTTGGAATTCGCGTTCTACTAGTAGATCCGGCAAAGTGGAGTTTGTTCGTCGCTGACAAGTAGAGCTAGAGGAGTATGAGTGCAAGCTTTCGTGTTGAAAATTGCCCAGACGGTGCAGGACTTACGACAGCCGAATCCCCCCTTCGATACCAGGCTGAGAAAGCGTGCGGGTAATATGGTTGGCTTCAAATGTGTCTTTTCCCACTTCTTCGATCGTGTTGATCGATGCCAGATACCGCAAGACGCGCCCTGCATACACTTTAGCAGTGACAAGAGGCCAGGACAGGTTCAAATACATACCAAGCAATTTTTCTGATGCACCACTGGCATTTGCAATATCTTGCAGCTTCATAGGCTTGCCTGCCGTGGTCAAGGCGGTAAAAACTTGCATATCGCACCCGATACGTATTGCAACATGTTGAAAGTCCTATACAGCCGTCAGTGATGAGGGTCAATTGATTGGTGGATACTCTACCAAATCATAGTAGCGCATCAACGTCTCCCAAGGTGATTCTAAGGATTGCTGTGTTTTGATCAGAAAATCCTGGATCTTTTGAGACCCTCGACTGTCAGTACGCGCCGCCAGACCTGCGACCTGAATCGAGAGCTGCAGCAATTGTTTGTCAAGGTCTGCCTCTTGCACTGCCATTTCTTCCCTGCTGATTGAGTGACTGGTGTATTGAGGGGTTGTTTCACAGAGAGTAATAATACTGGAACTGTAGCCGAGGAGGATCCACGAACGCGTGGTGTGTTGTCCGATGCTTATAAGGGAGAGCAAGTGGCTCTGTACCTGCCGTCAATGGACTCTGCGATTGAAATTGATCCTGCTCGGAGAAGCTGTTCTTTTTAACTGAAGAATTTTCACGCCGGACTCGCCGGAGCATTCCCATAGTCAGCTTCGCCATGCTCCGAGCTGGTGAAGTCCACAACGGTAAGGTGAGAAGATATCGGACCGATCCCATGCATCACACTGTAGAAAAGGTGACGTGGTTTGCCTCTACGTTACTATGTCTTCCTTTTTAGTATCCTTGTTGATTCCCTGTCCATTTTTGCATTAGATGATACCTTATCGCTATAGTTTCTTACGCTGTGCAGGCAACATGCTGACTGTGCCCCTGGTTCAAGCTTTGTATGTGCAGACGCGCTAAAATAAAGATTAGGCTCTTCTTCGGATGGTTATATCAAGTTTGTTACAGAAACTCTGAATAATCACGGATTTGTTGAGTGTAGCGCTTACTCTCGATCCTGGCCTGTATCGTCTCCCTGCTAGCTGCCTACACACATGAATTCTACCATACAGCACAGTAGTGCTTAGGAATAGCGGTACGAAGACGTGAGCCCGAGAGAACGTTGTTTACTATGAAAATCCGATTTGCCGAATGCGGGAGCAGCATTGAGCGCATGATGCCTTCTCCCAACCTCGTTTTTTAACAGACAATAGTGTTTTTCTTTCCCACCTAATCACCTACCTGTTTGCTACGGAGTTATCGCTTTAGTAGAGACAAATCGACTTCCTTAAAATTCGGAAGAAGCGTCGTAATGCTTGGAGGCACGCTTGACGACTACTGGATGTCCGTATCGACGATGCAACTGCACTGGACTGTGCTTGGATTACTACCTGTGCTTTTGATAGCCATCTTGGGACCCAGGGTGCGACAGATATGGATGAACTACGTCTACTTCACGAAGATACCTTCTCCACATAAGAATGATTACTTCTGCTTCGCTACGAAGACAACAAGAGCCGAGTTCCTCGATGAGTGCGCCCGACTATTGCACAAAGGCTTCGCCAGCGCAGACATAATTCGACTTCATGCAAGTTGGGATCACATTGTCGTACTTTCCCCCTCTTATGCGGAGCGGTTTCGCGCAGATGAAACTTTCTCTCCGGATACATTTTCTGACAAAGAAATGTTTGGTGCAGTTCCTGGCTTTGAACCGTACAGATTTCTTTGCACACACCGTGATTTGATCCGTAATGTAATAAGTATGCGTCTCAATCGATGCTTCGGTGCGTAATTGTTGAATCATCCTTCCGTTGACGGCGTCACTGATCCCTTCTGCAGTTCCCGCTACGAGATACCTCTCTGAGGCAATTGATGATGCTCTAAGAAAACAAATGGGGAGCGATTCAGGTGCGCGATCTCCTCCTCTTTCTCAATGCCAAAAAGAAATCAGAACTATACGATCAATGTACTGATATGCCGTCAAATAGAGTGGCACGAAATCCCTCTAGGGGAAGCTGTTCTGAAAGTTCTGACCCAGTCATCTTTCCGTGCGCTCCAAGGACAAGAGCTTTGCTACGACGACGAATGGCTCGAAATTGCGACGCAATATATCGTGACTAGTATCACTGGTGTCACTGCACTTCGCAAGCTACCTAAACTTCTGATCCCTGTGATCCATTGGTTTCATCCAGACGCCATCAAGTCCCGACAGTTATTAAGCCGTGCCCGAGCGAAACTCTTGCCTGTCTACGAGAGGCGCAAGAAGGAGCTTTCCGAAGCCAACAAAAATGGCACTTATCGTCCTGAAGACGCAGATGCCTTCGGATGGTACGAAGAGCTAGCCGATGGGCGGGACTATGATCCAGTGGTTGCGCAGCTTACAGTTGCCGTTGCTGCAACTCACTCAACAACTGACTTCATGTGTCAATTCCTCTCGGATATGGTTAGATATCCTGAGTACATCAAGCCATTACGAGATGAGCTCATCCTTGCGTTGAAGGAGAAGGGCTGGAAAGCCTCCACAATCCTGCAGCTACCCCTTCTCGACAGTGTTATGAAAGAATCTCAACGCGTGAAACCTGTGGCTTTAGGTCAGTACGATCAGCAATTTGAGTCACGGAGGATCTGCTAACAGCGTAGGTTTCATGAGAAGTGTCGCTCAGCATGATGTCTGCTTGAAAGATGCTGTAAAGATTCCCAAGAATGCATCTGTCATCGTTTCTGCTCATTCGATGCGGGATCCTACAGTTTATGAGAACCCAGACACTTTTGACGGCTATCGCTTCGTCAATCCGACCAAACATCCCGAATCTCGACATTTCACCAGTGTCAGCGTCAATCACATGGGCTTTGGGTTTGGCAAGCACGCATGTCCGGGCCGGTTTTTCGTGAATCTCGAAACCAAGATCCTCATCGCGCACATGCTGCTCAAGTATGACTGGAAATTTGCCACTGATGGCTGTCCTACAATCCGAACTAGTGGCTTCGATCAGGTTGTTGATCCTTCGTCGAAAATGCTGGTACGGCGACGGAAGGAGGAAATTCGAATTGAGGCACTGTATGAGTAGGGATCACGACCAGTGTAGCATAACTTCGGATCGTTCGTTTAGCTACCTTTAAGATTGTCTTGCTCGAACAGTCTAACTATTTGTGTGCCATTCGAAGTGCCACCAGACCTGCGTAAAGTGTTCGAGGAGGGTTTTGGTAGCTTTGATATAGCCTGAAGCCATCATTGCACTGCAATCCTCCATCGCAATTGAGACAAGGAAAAAAGCTTAGGCGAGTGTCAGATCAATGCCGAGTCCAGGACACGCATCTGTGGCGATGCTGCTATCCTAGTATCTGCAAATAGTGATAATACCGATCTAAAAACATGTGAAATCAGCAGGCAGGCAAAACCCTTGAGAGGCCGAGGTTGCGACATAGACGACTCTACATAACAAATCATAGCAAACGTAAGTAATCCTGGGATGGCAAGTAAGCAAAAGGTGAGGCAACGGAAGAGGCTGACGCGGAATCCAACCGAGGGTGCCAACCTTGGACTCAATCTCCTGCGTAGCTTTGAATCAAAGACGCCTGGCATGTGATCATGTAGCCTTCGGGATTCAACAAACTTAGTCAATTCCGGTGACCAATAAAGACCAAGTTGGGAGGCTGGTACCCGAGCACATTTGCTAGGCAAAATGCGCTCAGACTGTAGCTAGAAGTATCAACTCATCCGCTCGGTCCGGCGACCTAAATGGAATAAATTATTTCCTCAACTTTGCTTGACCATAACTCAAGAACGAGTGCAGGGTTAGCGGACCTCATCGGATGGCAGTCGCGGATATATCACTGCTATTCGACAGTAGCTTATCTCGTGTCAAGTCTGGCAAGGAGCATCCCTTCGTCGATTTCAATTTTTCCAAAAATTTTCAATACGCACGCTCAAGATGGAGACCGCAGTAGAATCGTGCACCTCGAATGCCGCCATTGCGACGCATCCGCTATCTGATCTGGACCTACTTACGAGAAATTACATGGCGCCCTTTTGTCTAATTTATCGCTTGGAAGACCAGGACGCGGACACTCGAAGTGCGGTAGTGGAGAGGCTTCAACTTGGACTTCAGAAAACTTCCATGCAGCTCCCTGTACTGACTGGACGAGTCGTGCATCCATTAGGCCAGCGTCCTTTTGTTCAGGTCGACAATGCAGACGACAGCATTCCTCTACTGGTTAGTGGAGTTGCAAACGTCTCACGGGAGCTTCCATCTTACGATGAGTTGAATGCAGTCCATTTCGCCCCGTATTGTTTGCCCTATAGCCTCGTCATTCCGACTGAATTGTTCAGCTCAGCTGACTTTTCAACCGAGTCAGCCGAGCATGGCCAGAGTCTGCCAGTGTGTGGTTTCAAGGTCACGTTCATTGAGGGAGGCATAGTGATAGGTGTCGCTATCAATCATTTCGTCACAGGCGCCTTAGGATTGGACCTGGTGCTCGGCTGTTGGGCCGCTAGTTGTTGTGGATTTTCCAGAGAAATTGTATACGATCCGGCACTGGTGGCCAGTGAGATTTCTGAGCCCATATCGGACATTCGGGCCTTCGAAGAGAACCTCATACAAAGAGGAGCTGCTATAGAAACAACGTATCAAGATTCAAAGGAATCACCATCACAATCTGCAAAACATACGACGGCTTTGATTGGGATCTCCCACTCGGAACTCTTGTCGCTTCAAGGTGCGGTCAAGGCCAAATACCCGCATCTGGGTATCTCTACCGGAGATTGCTTTCGCGCAATCATGTGGCAAGCAATAACCCGTGCGAAACGCAGACTTCAGTGGTACCAAGACGAGAATCAATCGAAATTCATGCAGGCAATCACATATTGCTCCAGCGACAAACGCAGGACAAAGATACCGTCAAATTATCTGGGAAACGCAACAGTCTTTACAAGCGTGCAACCCTGGACTGCTACAGAGCTTACCGACGAGATCAAACTCGTAGACGTGGTTGCTGCCATCCGCTCGAACATCAATCAGGCGGATGAGATGTTGTTCAAGGATGTCCTGCGCTGGGCCGCTAGTCTCGAAGATATAACCCAAAGGTGCTGGGGCAGGATGCCATTCGGCAAATTGGACTTTGGTGGAACGAGCTGGGCACGAGTGAAAGCGTACAAGACGGCTGACTTTGGATTTGGTCCTCTGGCTGCTTTTCGAATCCCCGAGGTCAACATAGAGTGGTGCGTTGCCTTACCGAGGAGGAAATATGACAATGGCATAGAGTTTGCAGAGGCGTGTCTGGGGCTACCAGATGATGTACATCGAGAACTTTTCCGCGATGACAAATTCCGTAAATACGCGATGGTTTATCAACTTCAGCAGGAAATTTTCTGACAGTAGCTATGACCCGGGGATGTTATAGATCAATCTACCAGAAAACTAAAACCCTACAGTCCACACTTTCACGTGCTTTGTCCCCAGCTTGAGTCTCTTGCAACCTACACGCTGCGTGTGGACTCCAGGCAGCTACATGATCAAGACTTGTGTCGGCATTCTTAATAACGAGTAAGTCGTCAGGGGTTTGGTTCGGCAACCAGTACCATTTCTGCGTATTTTTCTCATCGTTTGCTGGCCGCCGCAAATTGGCAGAGGCGGCTATAAATTCGCCAATCAATTCGCTAGGGAAGCGAATTGGGACTGGAATCAAGCCATCGCGATTTACAGTACGATAATCGCACACCGTCATGGGATCTCGCTCGACTGTATGTAGTGGCCGCTTCAAGTAAGATTAGATGAGCGATTGGGTAAATGAGCAATGCCGTTGGTCCCACACTTACCCAAACACTGTACATGGCATATCGTGGAGCTGGGCGGCCAGTGTCTTCCGCTCTCAGAATATCTTGAGCCCACTCTGCAATGTCTTTGCGAGAGAACCGCACCGTGTCTCTCATGCCTTGAAGAGTCACGTCTATATGGGCCTTCCCTACAGGGCCTGTACCTGCTTTTCCTTGGGAGCCAGCAACTGATTTTGCGAGCCACAGTCAGCCTGAGAAAGTAGCGTGGGACTTCCAATTACCTAGGATTTTGTCATGTTGCCTCGACTCCTGATCCTTTCCGACTTTGCTGTTGCGGTCTACCCAAGTACTAAAATCAGTCCACGTGCTCACACGGCGGACAACAGTGTTGACAACAAACGCCTTCCTAGCGCCGAGCCATTCGCACATCAGCTCCTCAAGTTCATGATAATACTGATGGAGTTGAGCATCATCCCATCTGTTTCCAAGCTCCAGAATCTTGGAATGATGCCTAAGGAATGTAAAACCTTGTACGTCCAAGCCGTCCACTCCTTTGGTCAGTTCTGACGAAGTGCTGAAGTCATGGAGCAATACTTCCGCCGGAAAATGTTCCTCAGGTGGCGAAGTTAAAATCGCCCTCTGCTCCGGTGTGTAGGAGAGGTCGGGGACTCCAAAATAGATCGTGGCAGGTGTAGAAGTCATGGTGGGTGGTCGACAAGGTTTACAAGCAAGAGCGGACAATTGTGTGAAAAGAGAAGCGTACAGAAGACGAGCTGGGTGACTAGATCAAGCTACTCAGAGCTTCAAACTATTGATTCAATTATGCCAAGTTCCAGTGCACTCCGTCTCGCACTTTCTAGGAGCTACTATTATCTCTGCTAAGGTAAGCTAGTGCCCCACCATCAACCAGGACGTCAGTTCCAGTGACGAAGCTCGACTCGGATCCCAGTAAGAATGCAGCTACATGTGCGACTTCACCGCTACTTCCGACTCTCTTGCATGGGATGTTCTGTGCCAAGTCATGCGCCACATCCTTCTTGCTGGCCTGTGATTCTAGGCTGAGCATGGGGGTCTGTATTGCGCCGGGGCTGATAGAGTTTATACGCGCACCATGTCGGGCCCAAGATAAGCTAGCATCTTGTACTTGCACATAATTGACCCGTTTGGACACGCCGTATGCCGACCATTGATCCAGTACAGTCTCCCGTAACAGTGGTGACCCGAGAACATCGCTGGGGCTAGTGCGCGCCAGTTGCTGAATTACTTCGTGGGGGACATCTTGTGCCAAGGTATAGCCGGCAAGGGATGAGATTACCACGCATGTTCCCCCATGGCCTATGAGCTTGCCAAACTCTGCAATGCAAAAGCCAGTACCAGCCAGATTGACCCCAAGGATCGTCTCTCGTGTCGACGAGACCGGCGAAAGGCCAGCAGAGACTGCCACATGCATGACCTGCCCCAGGCTCTGCGCTGTTTTCGCAAATTGAATGACTGAATCGCGTGATGATATGTCCACATGCTGAGGAGTGACTCTGAAGCCATCCCGCTTCATTCGTTGCGTGACGTCTTGTAGGAGCGTGTTACTACGGTCTCCTAGCAAGACTTCTTTCCCGGGGCCAACTCGACGCGCAATGGCTTCGCCGATTCCGCCTGCGCCAACTATCACGAGTATGGATTGCGACATTCGGACTGGACCAAAACAAGACGAGAGATTCGTTGGTGAGCCAGGTATGAGCGCCTGGTAAATGCGTTATTCTCGGCGAAGAAAATAGCGCATCTACGAAATCAGAGATACAAATACACCTCAAGGATGACAAATACTACGTCGCCTTTGTTGCCCAAAGTATCCCAACCTAGGATGTGGAGTTGGCATGCTATGCATTTAGCTGGGGTCATGTCTCAAGACTGGAAGGTAGCTATCGAGCCACTAACGAACTCTAAGGCAAAAGTTAGTTCAGAGCAGGGTTATTCTTCTAGTACTAGCCGAAAGGTTCCACCTCGCTAACCGAACGGTCCATTACCTAACATTAACGTTTATGCTTCTACCACTAATATCTGTACGAAAACTATATAGTTTTTAGCTTTTAAAAAACTTCCATTCTTATATACTAGTAGTTAGTATACTAACTCTAACTATTTATTTTTAAAATTGTAATATATTATAATAAGTTAGTTTATATATATAGTCTACTAATACTTAAAGAATAACTACTAAAGTAGAGTTAATTTTACACTAATTTTATTGATTAACTGGTCGTTATTATAAAGCTAACTATTAGTATATTACTTAAGATTGATAGTACTACTAGATCTTAATCGCGTTAGGTTAGATAGTTGTTACATAATGATATCACATTAATCTATTTACTATCTAATTTAAAAAATAGTATATATTTTAAGAAAGCTAATAATAAGACTAGATTTAGATAAGTGGTATTAACTAGACTTATTTAAAAGCTAGAGTATGGTGGTATGAGTAGAGTAGTCGAGCTAGATAAAGCAAAGGTTATTGCGCATGACTGTATATACACCGCAAAACATCGCCGCCACTGCCGCCACCACTCCGAACCTAGCATGTGATCACAATCGATCCATCGCACAATTCTATGCCTGCTTCTGTCTACGTTACTGCTATCTGTCCTCATCAAACGAGATTATTTGAGGGAAAGAGAATCATTCCCGCACATGCAATCTCACTCCAAGGCACCACCACTTCCGCACAAAGGAAATCCTCTCACATAGAGTTTAGAACTATTTTCAGAAAAAGTTCATCTTCAGAAGCTCATTTTAAGCCAAATCATGGACTCTATTCAAATACAGTCCACGCGAGACGGTCTCTTCATTCTCTGGTTGATCACTCTGTTAGTGACTATTCTGGCAACCGCGGCTTATATCAAGTCCCATTCAACACCAAGACCGTACTCCGGCTTTCCTGTGGTCACGCTCGATGGCCCTTCGGCGACAGGCGCGAGTCATGCCGCGAATTGGTTCAGGCGCGGCCGAGCGTTGGTCAACAAAGGGCTGAACGAAGTGTCAGGGCCATTCCAGTTATTCAGCGGCAGAGCATATTGGATCATTCTGCCCAGTAAATACATGGACGAACTGCGCAATCATCCCGATATGAGCCTTCGTAATGCACTGAGGGAGGAGAATTTCCCTGACTACAGAGGTTTTGATGGATTGCGCCAAGCGTTCAAAGACTCAACGTTTACACAAGAAGTGATTCGTGTCAAGGTGACGCAGAGTCTTGGATTAGTTACAGCAAATCTTGCCAACGAGTGTCAACACGCCCTGCACGAATATCTAGGCGAGTCGAGGGAGTGGCAGCAGCGCTTTATCATCGAGGACATACTCAACATTGTCGCCCAGTTGACGTCGCGGGTGTTCCTTGGGGAGCGCCTCTGCCGAGACAAAGAATGGCTGGAGATAACAAAAGAATATGCACGGAACTCCTTCCTGGGTGCGGAAGAGTTGCGCCAGTGCTCGCCGCTTACTCGTCCCCTCATGCAGTTTTTCATGCCTGCTTGCACACAACTCCGTAAATTCTCCGCGGCTGCTAGACGCCTAATTGATCCAGAAGTACAAGCACGTAAAAACCGCGCCGAGGAAGCGATGAAGTTAGGCAAGAAACCTCCAAAGGTCGAAGACACCATTGGATGGATGGTGGAGATTGCTCGTGGTCGACAGGTGGACTATGTTGGAGGCCAATTAGCCCTCTCAATTGGCGCTATCCATAGTTCGACAGATAACCTCTCCAAAGCAGTTGTAAAGCTATGTGAGATCCCTGAGATTGTCGCCCCACTTCGAGAAGAGATAACGAAAGTATTGGATAGCACTGGCGGCTGGTCGAAGTTAGCGTTATATCGCATGAGGCTACTTGACAGTTTTTTAAAAGAGGTTCAGCGTCTTGCCCCTTTCACAATCGGTGAGTAAAAACACGATTAGCCAGAGAGGAGACAATGATATAGATAGAAACGAGACATAACTGGACCAGGCTGATTTTTGGCAGTGGGTATGCACCGCCGTGCAATGAAAGGCTACGTGCTCAGCGATGGAACACATATTCCAAAGAATAGTCGAATCTTGGTCATGAATGAAAAGCTCTGGGACAGCAGCGTCTATGAAGATCCCGATACCTTCAAATACGACCGCTTTGCCCGGCTCCGTGAACAGCCGGGCCAAGAAGAGCAGCACCAGCTGGCCTCAATATCTAGTGACTTCGCAACATTCGGTTATGGCGAGCATGCATGTCCCGGACGCTTCTTCGCCGCCAACCAGCTGAAGATAGCTATGGCATGCCTCTTGCTCAAATACGACTTTCGTTTCCAACCAGGCCAGGCAGAGAAGGCACGCGTTATACCCTTTGAAATGGTAGAAACAATAGACCCTACTTTGAAGGTCGAAGTGCGGCGTCGCTCAGAAGAGCTAGATGTCACAAGGGTAGCGAAGGAGACCATTTAGACTGTGAAAGCAGGAAGGATCAGATAGGCCCCTTAATGAATCGTGTCCCCTCCGTACTCTGACAATGTCCCGATATGCTGCTCATCCGCAAAATTGTCTATCAACTATGAGTTTTACGCGGATGCATAGACTTCTGTCGCTCTCACAGTCGAGCTGGCAATGCGAGACTTACTTGGAACATCATTTCTAGCTTCTGGGTGCCGGCAATGGTCCGAAACACGTTGAGATTGCCGATTACCGAAACGACGGACATTACACATACCTTTGACTAACTTGTTAGAGGAAGGTAGTAGTAGTCTTCAGGTTGTCTAGGATATAGCAATGCTTGGTCCGGACATTGCCCCGAGCAAAAAGATGCAAAAGGTGCCAACACATGATCCGGACATGTCGGACTCGTACTTTTACGAGCTAGTAAAGTGTCTTCTTCCGTAATCGTCCACTACCACCCCGGGTGTACAAAGTGCTAGTCAGAACACCTTATCCGTTCTCTTGCTTACCCAGTATACGAATACGGACGGGATATAAGCCAGGTATAGAATATTATAGGGACTAGTGTAAGGATGTACGCGGAAAATGTCAATATTAGGTTTACATGCTTCGCACTAGCGACGCGGTGAAAATAAACAACCAATCAATTAAGAAAAAGACTTGCCAACTGTCACGAGTTAGGATTTATTTGCTCCCGGGGTGACACTTTCGTATATAGAATAGTGCGAGAGGGATTAGAGTTTGTACAGGCGCAACAACGCTTACCGCGACATGTGCGGTGGCAACTGTGACCAGGGGCAATGGCAACGCAGTGAGCTAGTGGGACTATCGCTTGCTAGGTTCTGAGGAAAGTCTTCGGGTCAGCATCACATGTGCGGCATTTGCACTGTGGGCCGCTCTTGGCATGTTCAATAAGCTCTTCGGCATTCCGATGGAATGATGGATCGCTGAGCCCACCAAAACTCTGTCGACAGAAGTGTTTCCATGCAAGCGCCACTAATGCTAGCCCATGCATCTGCTGCTAGCCTCGAATGCCCAGCCAAAAGGTGAGGTTTCAGAACGTATCCGAGACTACAGTAGGATCTTAGAACCTATTCTCCCCTCCGTTTTCCGATTCCGTTTCATTACCCGTTTAGATTTGGCGTGCCAACAAGGAGGTGCCAGCTAGAGTTATAGCTGAGCTTATCCAGATTACAATAGAAAACAGAGTGCTATGCTGTGAGGGTCGTGGAGAAGTCTGTAATCCTTACGATCCAATTGGTCATTTTCGGTACACGAGACTTTTCGTCATATAGGGACGTACTTTATGAGAACATTAGATTAATCTGGAGCATTCTGATAAATTCAATTTAGATACTATATGCTGTCAATGTTGTTCCACGGCCAGGGGGGATCTCATCCAATAAGATCACTCCAGTTTCTCTCACCCTCATCCAAATCGCTTCCCCCCCCCCTTCCCAGCGGCAAGATGTGCACATCGTCCCTCTCCATCATACCCTTTACAATCCGCTTTTCCGGATCTAGAGTGGATGGCGCGCGAAAACAACCGAATTTGAGATTGTGTCACTCCTCCGCAGACCACCTCCTCCCAGCAGCGTCGTGGAACGTGAAATCGTTGGCAATGCGCAGAAAATATGCAGTGTTATATCCATCCTCATGCCGATTCTCATAAACAGGAATGAAGCGGTGCACTGCGGACAAAAACCTTCCATCTAAGAGGAAGCGCAGGCTATCGCCGACATTGATGATGGCGTGCTTAGGGCCGGGCTTTACAAAAGCCTACGACTCGTTGTGGGGAGAGGGATTTGAAGACCCCACTGGGCAGCGAGAAGAAAGGTGAGGGAGCCAATTTCGGTGTGCTTATTGTGTCCGATGCTATTACTCTTGCGCTCGTCGTACTTTGGATATCGCAACGGGGTCATGCTGGTGAGCGACGGCAGGTCGTTGCTGGGGAGCGCCTTGAAACAAGCGATTCCCTCGAGACTAAGCTAGTCCGGAGGCTTCTGTAGGAGCAGCATGGTAACGGCATCGGCGTTGCGCGAAAAATCGAAGAACAACCCAGTCTTGGCTAATACTGAGCGAGTGCTGAAGTCTGTCGAACCCTTTAGAAGCATTCGGCGGGATATCTTCAGTGTCTCATATTCGTCGACTGTACCCGGCGGCGGTCCTGCTTCAGTCTACTGGGGCTCGTAGCCGTAGTTGTCGCTTTGCTGAGCGTCCTGCATCTTGACCTCCAGAGTTTGTCCGAAATAGTCTTTCATTGAGGCCAAAATGCGCTCCTATTGCAGGCATAAAATGTCATCCTTGCTTAAATCGAAACACAAGAAGCCATGAGTACGGCAAGCTTTCATTAATTTTTTGCTTTCGAAAATCTCGCCAGAGCGAAGGCCATTCAGACGAAGAGAGGGTGGATTGGCGAAAGGAGATGGATCGGCGCTCAAAGTTATATTTTGATGGGTATACAAAAAATGGAAAATTTTGAAGTAATTCTGCAAGCAATGGTAACGACGATGGTGAAGACAATGTCAGTAGCATATTTCCCTCGCCCAATAGCTCATCAGTGACTCTGAAATAGTGCAGTTGGTGTCCATGGTGCTTATTGAACGTAACCTGTGAATTGAGGTCGGTGAAACCAATATCCATCAATTAAATTGGCTGATTGACGAGATTTGGAATCGGGGGGTAGCTCTGACGTTCAACAACACCAATCCTAGGTCATCAGGACCGTTTCAAGGGCTGATATAAAATGAAATTATGAATCTTACGTTCGAGTGTCATGAATTGAAACAGCATTACCAAGACATCGTTCAAGCATGTCTACAACGGTCAGCGATCTTGCATCCCCAACTACACTTGTCGATATCATTGACTATTGGGCTGTTGAAACACCATCTGGAATAGGTGCAGAGTTTGGGGAACAGAAAATCACGTATGCGGAGTTGCGAAGCTCGTCTCCTCCTACCAGCCGGGCGCTGTTATCGGCTGGCGTGCGGCCTCACGACAAAGTTCCACTTCTGACAGCCATGTCACTCAACATGATCCCCGCTGTTGTCGGTATATTGAGAGTCGGAGTATGTTTTGTGCCCATAGATCTGGTCGTCTGGGGCCACTCACGTGTTGAAGTAGTATTGTTAGATTTCTCTGTACTCTTCTCTCTGACTACCATATGTTGTCCAGGGGTTCATCTGCTAGTGCTCACTGTGAACTTCCAGAAGGAATGGTTGAAACGACAATTTGAAGACAGTGATGAGGTTTTGGCTAGGCTGGAACTGATTCGAAGTCACCACTGTGACGGCGATCTCGCCTGAATTATCTTTACATCAAGCACAACTGGTAGACCGAAGGGAGTCATGGCTTGCCATAGAGGCATCCAGGCACTGATTCCTGAATCCCGAGAGTACGATCGCCTCGAGCTTGACGTGGAAGCACGAGCAGTCCGGTGCTTGTTGGCCGCTTCGATTGCTTTTGATGGGTGCCCAGCAACAATTTGGGGCACCCAAGGTCGAACGTTACTGATGGCCTCTGCATCCAATTTCCACGAAGTCGCTACATCATGTGATGTCCTGACACTCACCCCATCAATGATGGCATCCTTGGCTCCCGCAGGACCTTGTCACCGGGTGCGTATCATCTCCCTAGGTGCTGAGGCGCCTTCACGCGAAGTTTACCGTCATTGAATACGCCCCCATCGCAGAGTAATCAATACATACGGGCCACACTTCATCTACGATTATAAGCGACGACACGTAGACCAAGCGCGCAGAACCTTCGGAATAATGCTCCATGAACTACTCAAATCCGTAATTCTACGCCTCCCATCCCCCAGCAAGACGCAGCACATACCAAAGACGGAGCTTGGCCTGGTCCGTTTCGACTCGCGAGTAACATCGGCCACAGCCCAACTCGATGAAGCAGCACGCAGCCATGGCGTCACCGCCACGACGCTGATTTACGCAACAAGGTCGCTTTTTTCTAAGGAGAATATCCAGAAACGAACGTGTTGGTCTCTCCGTTAGCCTCTCTGGGCGCACTATACCGTGGTCTGGCGCGCAATCCGTGGTGGGCTGTCTAGTCAATAGAACCATCTTTAGCACCCCTGTTCCACCGAGAACCACGTTCCACAAATGGCTCGCTGACGTACACGGAAAACCATTGGATGTGATGAACTTTGACGGCATATTACACAGCCTGCCCAAATCGCTGATGACAGACCCGCGCACAAATACTACGAACGTCCTCTGCTTCGTTAACATGCCGCACCCGTCCCCCAACTAAAGTTATCGCGATCAGCAAGACCATAATTACATCATTGACTGGTATATATTCGGGAATGATGATGGCCAGATTACCACGGAATTTGAATTTCAGGCCAGGCGTATGGGCATAGATTGGGCAACGGCGGTCTCGAGGCTTGGTGGGTGCTTGCTAGACCAGCTTGTTCATGCATATTCTAAAGTCTTGTAGACGGTCGGCAAAGTAGCAGCTACAAGAGGGGTATATGTACTTAGGTTAATAGCTATTTATCTATCTAACATATAAATTACTAAATCTTGTTTACTACTCTTACATTTTATCCATGTATATTCTATAGTTAGTTCTTAGATCTAAAGTAATACATATATATACAAACGTAATATCTAATGTATACTGTGAATTCTAATTTATCTATTAAGAGTTATGTAATTATTCAGTGAGACTATAAATTTGATAATGGAATAGGTTAACAGAGTAGTTCTAGTAGCTATGTCTTATCACTATAAGGGCCACGCCTAAGAACCTGTTGCTTATATACAATAGTGACATTATACAAATGCTGAACACGATATAAGGAGAAGACCACTGTTCTTTTCTATATCTGTATTGTTTTGTACATAGGAGCAAATGCTTCTTAGATAGTAAATCTCTTTCTTCTTTTAATAGATACTTTACGAAATAAGTCTCCTAAGCCACTTTTCGCGTATTTACCTAGTCGCCTCGTGCACGAAAATCGTAGGGTAACCTATACGGGCCAATTTGGTACATGGCGCTCAGCATGGTCTGGTGGAGATTCTGGACACGAAGTAGTGACGTGCCTAGTCTCCTCGTTGACTGTCAGATCATCTAGCTCTACATCGTTCTGTGATCTATTTGATCCACGTCCGAACACTTCCTCCATAGATTCACCATATTCTCCATTAACCGTTATCTCTGGTGTCTTTTTGCTCGATTGTCGTGTGCTCATCCGGTTCCCCGAGCTCGCAGGGTTGGAAGAGTACGATCGTGATTTGTTTCTTGATTTGCACCTACTTGATCCAGTGTAGCCTTCGATCGCAGAGTTGAGCGCATGCTTGAATACGACACGAAGTACTGGGATTGAGGTAGCCACGATGGCCATGGAACACTCTGCGACTGCCCATATGATAGATTTGTACGATTCATCTGTGGCTATTAGCAATAATCCGTACATCTCTTGAAATAACTCACATGATACATCCTGTACTGTCAATTTCTCGATGTATGTGGATCTGATGATCGACGTGACTCCGGCTCTTCAACGAAGTTAGCCCAGTATTGAATCTAGTCAAGCAATGCATGAACTCACAGTATTCCCAGACTCATAGCGATACATACACCGATCTTTTCTGCGGTGCGCATTTGCAGGTTTGAAAGGAGTTTCCATGGCAATATAGCAAGAGATACATCCATAAGTGCTGACCAAACTGCATCGAAAGTCAGCTAAGGAATCAAGGTACAAACTTTGAAACTGTCTGCTCACCAGCTTGGAAACGTCCATACACGACTGAGGGGTGCTTATTGATGCACTCGCCGGGTATGAAGTCTACAAAAGTTTTAGCTAGCGGTTTGCATTGCACCCATGGTATAATGGTAGCAGGGATAGCAAAAATCGCCAGGGTACAGATCGCAAAGTAAACGTAAAGTCTGACCCATCCATCCGTCAGCCGAAGCAAAGTAAGTCCAAAAGAGATCTTGCTCAGCGCAATGGCGATAGTATATATCGTCAGTTCGGCTCCGCCAATATACATTAATTTATCAAGATTGCGCAAGTCAACTAGCGTAAAGATTAGCAATCTCAGGTGTAAAATGTACGACTCTCCTTTGGTGTATTACGGTCAAGCGTATGTCCTCCGTAGCCTAGGTTGATAGATACTTGGTTGAGGGAAACTTGGATCAGAAGTAGAATCTTTATTGGATAAGCTAACTGCTGTTGTCTTTATGATGCTGTGGCACTTACCCAACTAACAATAAGGGTGCAATCGTCTAGCCACAGCTTCCCTTGACGCTGGCGAATCAAAAGCCGAGGGATTAAAAAAGCAGCAGCGACGGAGACCAGCGACCAGGTAACGACGGACATAAGCGGTCCATTGCTCTCGTCTGGGTTACTAACCCAACTTTCGAAGGCAGCCATTGGATTGGACTCTAGAGCAGCGAAAAGGAGAAGGAATTGAAGGGAATGCTCCTTTGGCGCTATATCAAAATCCAACAGCGGTCCTGGCGGTACGATGGTAACGCGGGACAAGGATCAAGTTTATATCGAATGATGTTGAGGATAGGGTTGCGGATAGACGTCATCCGTCCCGATAGTGGCCGGTGTTCACCCTTTTCCTTCAGTAGTGGGTACTCGGCTGAGAGACGTGTCCTATGATTTAAAACAGAACGGTGCGGCAGTTATGAAGCGTACTCTTTGGCAGATGCTTGTGGGGACGCTTATAATAGTACGTGGGTATCGGGCAACACTGGCTTGGCTGTTGGGCAATGGTAATCAAAGCATCGTTCTCCGCTAATCATGCGGTGCGGACTTCTCTGAGCGAGATTTAAACTTGTATGCGACTCTCCTAACAAGCTCACACCGGGTAAGGCAGCCTGCATACTCAGAAATTGAGGTCACTCTGGGCTGGGGTAGACCCAGTAGTAGTATAAGATAGACAACGGTCTAGTCATCCCTGGAGAGATTATGCCCGCTAGTAGTAGACCAAATCCGCTAGTCTCGGATACTTCTTGGCCCGGTAAATTATTGCCGGCAGGTTTATAGACAGATGCTAGGCACCGTGACGAGCTACTAGGGCCAGGAATACTTGCCTCAAGGATCCAGCCATGACGCTCGAGGGCGTTGTTCTCCCTAACACGAATCGTTAGATCTAGTAGATCTAGGAACGAACTGATTTGTGGCTTGCGCGAGCGGATCGCGGTTGATCTAAGGCCCTTGCATGGAAGACATCGCGCAACGATCTGCAAACCTCTAGTATGGCTCTAGCCCAATCGCGTCACGCGCAGAGAGAGGACCCACGACGATCTCTCAGCCTTAGGCCCTCCACCCTGCAATCTAGAGTAAGTAAAGCGGGCTGTTAAGACTGTGCTAGAAGGTACCTGACCCCAGATTGGCATCTCTATCGACAATATTCAGGAGAAAATTATAGCGGCCTATGTGCGGGCGGCACTCATTTGCCAGCATGAAAGTTGAATAATCCCCGGTTGTCGCTGACCGGATCTTCCTCGCTCCAACTTCACATCCCTCCTTTACACTCTTTCACATCTGATATTATCGTTTCAACCATGAAGGCCTCAGTACTATGTAGCGCAACGCTCTTCTCATTGGCGACTTTCGCCTTTCCTGCGAGCATGCTCAAAGGCGACATCAGTAGAACGACGCTTGCGGAAATCACCGCTCTCACGGAGAGGATTTCAAGAGATTTAGAGAGTAAGCGATCTGGTGCTCACGTCAAGCGTGCATTCAATGCAGAGGCTCAGCGCATCAGTACTAGCGGTGACCATAGATACGTGAGTCGCCCTGTCAAGACGCACAACATAGAATTGCGTTTGCTAATGATTTCATTACCAGATTGCGCCAGGCCCCAATGATCTCCGTGGACCTTGTCCTGGTATCAATGTTATGGCAAATCATGGTTATCTTCCCCGAAATGGCATCTCCACAATCACACAAATGACTACGGCCGCCAATGAGGGTTCGCATGCCTTTGCCCTCTAATCTATGGAGTGCTAACAACGTTAGTTTTTGGTATGGGCCTAGATCTGTCGGCATTTCTGGCAGTCTACTCCGCTGTCATGGCAGGTGATCTCACCTCTTTTTCTATCGGTGGTAAACCTAAGACTGGTGGGCTCCTAGGCGGTGCCATCTCATCACTCGGCCTCCTCGGAGAACCACAGGGCCTGAGTGCATCACATAACCGCTTCGAGGTTGATGGATCGCCTACGCGATCGGACTTGTACTCAACGTATGTCATTCAATCTTCTTCCTCTTATTACATGGTCAGGATAACTCATTACTAGTAGTGGTGACCCAGTGTCCCTCAACTTGGACTTTTTCGAGCAGCTCCTCTCTATGCCTCTTGGCAAAAACGGCATTGATATTCCCGTCCTGACCGCGTTCCGCCTTGATCGCACGAGTCACTCTATCGCTACGAATGGTCATTACTTCTCAGGCCCGCTGCAAACCCTTGCGTTAAACCCCGCCACGTATCAGTTCACTTACCGTTTCTTTGCTAACCACACCGCTGAGAACCCCGAGGGCTACCTCGATGCTAAGACACTCATGTCATTCCAGGGTGTTACTGGGGAAAAGGGTAATTATAAGTGGGCTCGTGGGCAAGAGAAGATCCCTGAAAACGTGAGTACCCATCGTAACACCATCCACCTGTAATCGCTAACGCTCATCACAGTGGTACCGCCGCGTCATCGGTGATGATTACAGCATCCTGTCGTTCGCTGCTGAAGCCGTTTCGCTTGAAGTAGCCCACCCCGAATTGATCCGAATTGGTGGAAATACCGGCCAGCCAAACTCGTTCACTGGTGTTGATGTCGACGATTTGACAGGCACGTAATCACTGTACGAACCATATGCGAGACAAATACTGACCTCTTACACCGATTTTTAGGCAACGTTTTTAATGCGCAAACACTTCTTGAGGGAAACAACCTAATGTGCCTTGCGTTCCAGGCAGCTAGCGAAGGTGCTCCTGACATTCTCCGCGGATTGTTTGGCAATATCTTGATCGCTGTACAAAAGTTGGCCTCTGTTCTAGACCCAATCATTGCAGAGCTTGGATGCCCCGAGCTTGTCAAATACGACAAATCCCTGTTCAAGGCCTTCCCCGGTGCGGGAAGTGCGGTGTAAAGTACGACTCTACACTTTCCGAACATGATAGTTGAATCTTTTACCTTCAAGCCTTCCCTTGTTGTATTGATACTATAAAACTTTCGCCTACTTTCCTAGTTCCTACACCGTGCGCGCCGCCAGCTGGCGAATTAAACTATACTAGATAGAAAATCGCATCAATATAGGGCGAGGCCTTGGTAATATGTATTAGCTAAAGAGGTTGCTAAAATTAGACGTGACACTTAATTCTATTTCGTCTTCACTCAAGTCATCTTTGTACATAGTGGAGAGTGCAGTTTACTCTGTTTTGCATTTTGGGTATATAGGGTAATTCTGCAAGTAACTAGTGCATGACAACTGCTACATGGTCGTCCATGTACTTGGAGATGTCACCTAGGAAGCAGGCTGAAATGATGCTCACACAGCCAAAAGCAATACTAACGTAGTACACATACTTGTATGCCTCTGCATACGCGAGTTGGCCGGCGTACACCACTAATTCGTATGCGCCAGGTACACCCTTAATTCCCGGAAGCTCTTTGAGCAGGGGTAGAAGCGAGCTGCCAGTGATTCCAATTGCTTCACCAATAATAGAGGGTGAGGTGACGTTGAGTTTTGTGACCATAACACCACCAATATAGTGGGTCGCCGCTGGCACAAATTTGGCTACAAGAAGAGTTAGAGTGCTTTTTTTTCGGCGCTGCTAGTGAAGAAGCTTACAAATAAATACATTATAGTAGATGCAGTACCCAACTGACCCCCCAATAACACGAACAGCGAGGGTAAGGGCGGCGACCGTAGCGATAAGATCGTCGGGGCAGATGATAGTCGCTGTTACTATCAGTGTCGCACTCTTTATCAATGGATGAAAGAAAAGCTTACATATGATAGATGCTGGAACCACGATACCTCCGATTCCAAGACCAGCCAGAACTAAAATGCCCCAAAGCTGATGCAAATTATCCACTCGGCCAATGGCAAGGGCACCGCAACCAGCAGTCATGAGTATAGAAGAAGCGATCAGAAGCTCTTTGTTATGGCCTCGAAGTAGAGATAGCAGCCATAGCACAATGCAGGCTCCAGCGAGGATAGAGAAGCCGACTGGAATACCGCGGATACCGACGCCAACTGGGTCATGGCCGTATACATTGAATGCTTGCGTGGGCCAGAACATAAGTATGGAAAAGAAATTAGCTCCGGAGATGAAGGTGATGACAAGAGTAAGACCTAAGATACGTGGTTCCTGTCGCAGTCTTTTGGGAAACATGGGATGTGTTGCATATGCTTGCCAGACGACGAAAGCGATGATGAGCATGGCGCCGAGGATCAAGGGCACAAGAACATGGGCACTGTGCCATGGATACTGGTAGCCTCCCCACTGCATGCCCATCATGAAGAGGAGCATTCCAGCGATGGAAAGGAACCCACCGATGTAGTCAATCTCAGCGAGAATCTGCTTGCGGCTCATGCCTTGGCTGTTAACACGTGGTGGTGGATGGTAGAAGAATGCGACCAGAGCGAGGCCAATGAAAGCCCAGAGTCCAATCCAAAGTCCAATCCAACGCCAGGTCGAATGTGAGGCAATAAGCTGCGCCCATAGGACAGATGGACAAAATGGAATGATGGTGAAAACAAGGACGGCAACGTATTTACCGCGTTGCGCAGTAGGAGCCAGCTCAGATGTCACAGCCAATGCTGTCAATTCGTTGATGCCGGCTCCTATTCCTGCAAACACCATACCACAGATGAAGATGTTCATTTCGTGGGCAGTGGAGCAAACAATCATGCCGAGGATGAGGAACATCGCTCCGATCATGGCAACCCAGCGACGGCCGACAATATCCGAGATGGATCCTACAAAAGGACACACTGCAGCCAACGAAAGGAGGTTTGCAAGGATGAACCAGATCCATCGATCATTACCACCGATGTCGCCATAGATGTACGGAGGAACACCACCGAACAGGTAGACAGGGATCTGACTGCCAGTCCACACTAGACGCAAATTAGTGAGGTTGTTGGTATGTAGAAGCAAAAGAACCGCTCACAAAAGGCCATCGCAATCAAACTCATAATGCGGCTAAAGGTCATTGGGGGCTCATTATCGTGATCTTCGCCATCGCCACTTGTTCGCAGGCTATTCTTCTCATAATAATCTCTGTGTTCAGGCCCTTCTTTGTCGACTTTTATTTGTTCAACTTCCACAGCAGTCGGCTTCGACGAACAAACATGCTCCGAGCCATCTGATAGAGCACATGGTTAGTACAGTATGAACAACCCTAGCGCGCGACAATACATACTGGAGCTGCTAGTATCCACCGTCATGAGCTGAATGTGAGTGAAAACCCAGAAGTGTGGAAATGGAGCGATCGGAACAATGAGGCAAGACCAAGGGTTAGATGTCAATTGTTCAAGGTTGGATGCACCGATTTTTAAATCACCGCCTGGCTGGGACTAGATCCGATTCGGAACGTGGACTTCAATTCGGCGACATCGCAAGAAGGCCATCTTGACCCCGTGGGGTACCGTCCGGCCTCTCACAATAAGCCCGTTGCGGGGTATACGTGCTAGTGAGGGCTGTAGCTTCCCTCAGGGGCTCAAGTCCACGGAGACGGGAGACGAATGTGTTCTGGCCGATGCCTGTGGCGAGACCCCGGAGGTGCCATTGGCTGACCCACGACACAAGCGTCCGGAGCCGCGCAAGCTATTAGGAACACCGTTGTTAGTCAATGAGAACTTACCGCGGCATGTTGTATCGCGCCTCACAACGTGGTATCTAACTGCTATCTCAATGTGCACTTGCCTAACAACCACCGAAGGTCCAATTGCGAAGAGAACCTTAACGAAACTTGAAGCTGACTTAAAATGATGTCTCTCACGGGTGAACAATGCTGCACTGGGCAGCAGTAATCTTCAGGCAGCTTGCGCGGCGCAGAACATCGTCCGAGACGGGGTGAATTGCAGAATAGGCAATGGGCCCGGCGCTATGAGAGTAGCACCGAACTACCCCGCATGGCAATTGCTTGACTGGATATAAGCAGTAAACAAGCACCTCGGCGGGCGATAACAAGCTTCTCGGCCATGTTGCAAGGGCTTCGGGACGAATGGATGCATGGAGGCTTCGTGTAACTCCATCATAGGGCCATGTACCAAAGACATGGTCACGGCGTAATCGGGCCAGACATAAGGGTTCATGCTAATTAGCTCTATACACTGACTTCATCAACGGTGTGAAGAATAATTCCCTTGTACTTTGCCCGCAATTATCTTTGGGAATGTTGGCAAGATGCGTTGGCGTGTCGAATCCAATTTCACCTGTTGGAGAATTGCTCATACTGGTTCAGTGAATTTTGGCAACCTGTATTTATCCATCAGTGCTATCGACATCATTCAAGATGCGAACGAGATTACCTTCATGAAGTACGACCTGAGGTCGCCATTTTCCAACTTCGCATCAATGCGAAAGGTCTTACACCACGCACTTGCTCCGAAAGGAACTACTTGGATGATCCTGGTGCATTCAGGTAATTTTACTCTAATGAATGCTTTCAATACAGGACGGTAGCGCCAGGACCTACTTGCAGTAACTTTTTCGTCTAAATCGTTAATTATAATCGGGTTCGCTTTACGTTCATGTCTTAGCTTCTCAGCATACGCTTCGGCTGGGTTGGTGGGCATGATTGAGGCTATTAAAAGCTGAGACAAGACACGGAAATCAGACTAGGTGGGAAAGTGGAAAGATAGATCATCGTTTCTTTGTCCAGCGATGACGACCGGTTAGCGCATTAGCTTGTGTAATCGTGATCACCAATCATTGAACGATTAATCTAAATACTAGCTAATATGCTTTTTTTGGAGGGTTGGAGTAGTTCCCAAAGCGCTTTGAAATAGGGCTAAAGTAAGTGATGGGCCCGAGTCTGGCGCGGTGGACCGAGCGGTTGGAACCGAAGGGAGGCATCCCTCATAATACCTCCGCGTCAGCCGTTTTTCTTGGCTAAAGAGTATGTGCCCTCATATAGAAGTATCACGCTAATCTTTCTTTTTATATTATCGATGGCTTGAATGGAAGTCCTCACAGAGAACGCGCACGTGCACTTCAGCATCGACTCCCAGAGTTTGCCACCGTCTCAGCCAGGTGGATGGAAATCTGGTTCTATACCCCACACGCTCACAACACCTTGTTCGAGAGAGTGAACCTAGCCTTCTTTGTCTCAAGATATCCGACACGTATCTGACCCAGTGCTGTCATCTCCATCCAGAGTTTCAAGAGCCTCAAAAACAATATAAGCAGTCGTAATGTGGCCTTTGCACTATGGTACTCGCATGCCGACACGTGACCAAGCTTGCTTAACAGCAAACACACCCATAATCCCATGTGAGCGCCACTTATCTAGCTCAGTTTTACTGTTACACTCTCGTCTTGGATCGTCGATCACGTTGGCAATATGCCGGACCATTCGCCCTACATGCGGGAACCAGGCACTTTCGCGGTCGCATATACATAGCGTGATCACGAACATAGCAACGCCTGCAGAGCAAGGCGCGTTTTTGAGTACTTACCCTTTGAGTAAGCTGAGTTGAGCTTCAGTCTCGAGTTTTGAGATACTGAAGAACTCCAGTGTCACGACAGCTCCCAGCTCCGGGTCCCTTCTCGGTGTCCTTGCATACCGAACGGGCCGGCGTTGAATGTTTTGGCTCCTATCAATTTTATCAAGATTCGTACTTATACTGTTAGTTCCCAGTCTTCCCGAGACGGCACCATCCGTCACTGGCAATAGATCAATCCCTCTGCCAAGATTATTGAAGCCGCTTTTTCCTGAAATCAGGCACCGTTCAACCGAGTGCTACTGACCTACAGAATGTTATTGAGTTAGCCTAAGAATTTTGCGTAGACTGCAGGATCGCAGACGGAGCCTGAATTGCATAGGAACATGTCTGAATACCAAATATAGTCATGAATTAAAGCGCCATGGATGCAGCAAGATGCTGTAGATGTAAGTCAAAGGATAAGGCTCCTCCTCGATGCACTTGTGCTAATGACACCTACAGTATGAAAGTGTACAGCCCACCCATATCCCACCATTGCGACCATTGTAAGGAACTTACCTTCTATAATAGGTTCATCGTTCTGCTAAGACGAGCCTGTTTAGCAATGAGGTATTCTCTAGATATTGTAACCAGTAAATAGAAAAGCACGACTACTCCCTGCCACGTCGCGCGCATTCTAGCCGAGCCTGCCAATCCCAAATATGAAAATCTAGCGAACTATCACTGTCATATCTCGAATACAAGCAGTTAACATGTCTTTATTGCCAAATAGCTACGCAAGTAGATGCTCTACATAGTGAGATTAACAGAGGTGGCACCGAAACATTCAGTGTAAATTGTTAGCTGAGTAGCTTCGGACGATATAGATTTTCCAAGAAGTCGGTACGTAAGAGTGGCCTGCTTAGGGCAATTAATCCAGTATGTGGTATACCTAGCTATCTGGATGCTATAACGAAACTGCCAGAGACTCTAACCTCTGTGTGACTATACCGAAATAACACCTACCATTACTCTTCGCATACGTCCCTAAGCCTTGGACCTTTCACTAATGGGGATCTTGAATCAGTATCCTTTTTGCTAGCGCAGGTCACTAAGCTCCAAAGTCTTATTAGTATGGACTCCTCAAAACGAGAATTGTTATCAGCTCCTTATATAACAACCCAAGATCTTGTGCGCACAGAGACAAACTAAATATAAGCCCCGCCCAGCCATACTTGTATTGTATAACCCGGTCCTATCGTATCGTGATTCAGCGAAACCATCCGCTTATTGATAGAATAAACACTATCTTAACAATCCTAGTCTATTGCAAGCATCACAAACATAGTTTGAGCATGTCAGACCTATCGAGGTAATGACGTGATTGACAAGGTTCTAGATTACCGCCAGCGCGAGTAATAACCATCGCCCGAAGCTCCTTATTCTTATCTACGCATGAACTGTTGGGATGATTATTAAGGCACTACGCGACCTGGGGTTGCCGGTGGTGCTATTTGCGCCGCTGGGCGATGCGGGGTTATCAACACTCCACCCGTTGATAAAAGAAGCAAAGCAGTGTATAGAACTTTGAGAGGAAATCAAACATAACTCTGAAAAACTCGGTGAAAACTCAGCGCTCTACTGTATTTCTTTAGTGCATTACTCATTCAGTAATATACTGTTGTAGAAAGTGTTCACTCTCCACACAAATTCGAATCCAAGATCAGTGCAATTCGGGGTCATTGGTAAGTTAAGCTTACTTTGCTTTTCTTAATGCGGCTTTTGTTAATGCGAGGGTGTCTTTTTACCCCACCTTGACCAATTGAGCGTTCGAACTAGAGGATTACTAAAAGTAACAAATCAAGCTTCTTTCATGGAAAGTCCATGCATGAAACCAGCAGCAGCCAATAAAACCTAATAACCGTACTCAATGGCTCCCGGATCTTGCCAATGGTCCGTAGGCACAGACAAATGACGTCGTCGGCGTTGCTCGGTCTATTGACAGCAGAGGGGAAGAACGTAAATACATCATGCCTGCCATCTTTTTCCATTCCTTCTGTGAATGATCATTTCCTTTCACTAATATCGCTTAGAATTGCATTTGAAGAAACAATGGCAGAAACAAAGACACAAGAGGGAATCACCAATCGCCCGGATGAGTGGAAGATTGAGCAGGGATTGGCCGGAGCGAGCCTCCCTGTTCTTGACATGACTGGCCCCGAGACGTTTCAAATACCTCCCCAAGTATTTGGTGAGCTGACTAAGGATGAAGAAGCTATCAAGGCCGTTGGTGATCGTGAGAAGCTATTTGCTCGCGAAAGGAAGGGCTGGGTAGGGTAAGTGGTAAAAGTTAGGGCTTTGATCCAAGCGATTTGTTAAAGCCGTTTGTAGGTTTGTAGAGTGGGAAGACCATCCTGACAAGAAGCTGGCGGCACATAAGATCTTGACTGCGCAAACATTCCCACCAAATCCAGAATATCAGCTAGGCCCTATTCCGGGAACGAACCCTGTCCTTCCTGGAACTCACTGGAAGATGTGGCATCATGCTGTCGGTGGCGAACTCACTCAAATCCCAGACGACTCCTGGGATATTGTTATGAAAGAGAAGCATCCTGACATGCTTCACTTGTTACAATTCCCATATAATGGAGAACCACCTAAACGCCTCGTTACTGCTAAAGAGATTACACCAAACTCACTGCATTTTGTCAGAAACCACGGCGGGATCCCGATTATCGACAAAGCCGACTATAGCTTCATGATCGACGGCCTTGTCAAGACACCACGTTCGTTCACTCTAGATGAGCTCATGGATGAGACCAAATTTCCTCGCATCGAGAAAGTTGTGACGATACAATGCTCCGGCACGAGACGTATTGAGCAGATTCTGAAGTATCCTGGTCAAGGCGACGAAGTTCCACAAGCGCCTTGGGCGGAAGGTGCGATCAGTACCGCTAGCTACGTGGGCATCAGCCTCAAAAAGGCCATCAAGGCATGTGGCGGTTTAATCGACGGTGGGAAACACCTTGAGTTCTATGGCGCCGATACCTACTTCAAAGATGACCAAGTCATGAATTATCTGGTCAGCGTCCCTTGGTCTAAGGTCAAGGCAAACGAAGTCCTCTTAGCATGGGAGATGAATGGAGAGCCACTCCCTCGTATTCATGGCTATCCTCTCCGACTTGTTGTCTTGGGCTACATTGGTGCAAGAAGCGTCAAGTGGGTGTATCGGATTAAAGCCATCGAAAAGCCATCACGGGCGCCTGTGCAAAGCAAAGAGTATCTCTATTTTCCTCAGCAAGTGGGCAAGCATAATCTGAGAATGACAGACGGGATTCAGATTCAAGAAATGCCAGTCAGCTCAGCAATAATGTCACCATGGACAAAGCAGGTAGTCATTCACAACGGCAAGATACGATGCAAGGGTTGGGCCTACTCTGGCGGCGGTCGATGGCCAGAACGCGTTGAGCTTTCGGCAGACGGCGGGTTTAACTGGTACACAGTCCCTGTCGAAAACATGTCAAAGAAGCGCAAGTGGACCTGGCGTACCTACGAGTTCGACCTACCGTGTGACGTTGAAGGCTGGGTTGAGATTGTGTGTCGATGCTGGGACAACGCACTGAACACACAGCCTCCTGACGTCCGAACGGCGTGGAACTGGGGCTTGCATGTCACTAGCTCATGCCATCGCATTTCCGTGTATAGCGTCAACAAGTCTAGGCCGTTGACCAAGGCCCGTCTTGAAGAGTTCGACAAAGCCAAGATTCCTTTCGCGCCTATCACAGTACCGCTTGCGTTTCCAAGTCAGACATGGGAGGCCTACGAAAAATACTGGGAGGAGCATGATCCGCGCGACGCTGATGAATTTTAAGTCCAGTGGTACACGGTGGGTATTTTTCTCCATATATGTACTTATTTGGCACAGAGGAACTATTGGGTATCAAGAGTGTTCGTTAGCTGTGATTCCGATGCACTGGTTGAAACGACTAAGCTTTGACAAATTGGTAATTGTCATATAAGTCTTAGTCTAAGATGCACTGGCAAGCCTCAGAGGAAGTCTGGCTTAAGTTCCGCGAGCCATCCGTTTCAAATCCTAGAAATTTTGTCTGATAATACTCCCTTTGCTTACGTATCTATTCTGTATCCGAAAG